ACTGTTTTTCATACTTCTTGGCTTAGACAAGGGATTAACAGGCATTTCGAGATTCAGGTGAGCGCGGCTGCCGCCTAGTCCAATAAAGCGTCCTCCCTCCTCGGGGAGGAGACACAGCCGCGGGGAAACTGCAGCCGGAAATGTGCGGGCTGGCGCGCGCGCGCTCGACGCCGCCTCCTTCAAATATTTCTTACCTATGTTGTAGATCCTCTTTTATCGGTCTTGCCGTTTCATTGAAATCAACACTTTTAGTGAACACTCCAAGAAAGGAGTCCCTGGCTGGCATAAACAGTTAAGCTCGTGGCTCTTGACCAACAGGTTGGCATTTCAAGTTCATCCAAGAGGAATTTCAGAAGAAAGGGATGGCGATCTACTTTTGGAAGGTCATGGCCATGGTTCTACTCTGACATGCAAGGGATTCCCAGGAGTTGAGATTGACTTCCAACAACTGGCATAAACGAGAGAGAGAGAGAGAGAGAACAACAACTAAAGCCCTCCAGAGTGGTCTCTCGCACACCTTGATTCTCCAGATCAGGAAATGCCTGTCAGTCTCCAGATACTCCTGCAGCTGGTGCTGCTCCCTTGCCAGCACGCCTGTCCTTGCCCGTACCTGCCTGGTGGTTTTTCAGAGATCTAGCTCAGGGATTTCCTTTCCCAAAAGGCCAAGATACCCTTGAGTTCCCTGCTCGCCTGGCTGGATTCTGCTTGTTGCACTGATCACAGAGGACTGATTCTTCCTGTCCTCATATTTACCTTTCTTCTCGAGGAGACAGTGAGAAGGGTGTGGGCACGGTAATCCTTTCCAGGTCTGTGAAGCCTAGCACCTTCCACAGGGCCTGGTGGGGTGACACTCTGAAACCGAATTCACCCTTTCTGGGGTGTCCTGGGGCTCTTCACAGACTTGATGGCCTTGAACAACCCCCCCAAAAAAGTGCCCTTGCCTTATGGGATCATATATATTTTTTGGTATGTAACATTAAAATTTTATTGTTTTGTCCATAAACCACCATGAAGCTTAGAATTGGATCACCTGGTCCTTTCTCTTCTTATCTCCTCTCAGTTCAACATGTTTGCATCGCTTAATAGCCAATCTTCTCTTAGAGCTGCACTTGGGCTCCGCACATTCAAGCCACAACACAATCTTCTTTGTAGTTTTAGCCTTCTTCCGGAAAATGGCTTAGTCTGTCCATCATAGCCACTCTGCTTCCTGTCCTACCATCGCTTCCCCTGGGGATCCGGAGAAACCTTGCCCTTCCAGTATTGTGTCACTTTGTGGGGTTGGTGCTTGCCGCGCTTCTTACAGAAAGTCCGGCAGGTTTCAGGAACAGTCACCATGTTACCTGGAGCGCTACCAGCATGAAAAAGGGGGTCATATGCTTGTGTTGTATTCATATTGGCATGCAGTTTCAATCATGGAAGAGTGAAAATGTTACTCCTAACGGTTGCAGGAAATTGTGCTGTTTAGGAAAAAACAAGCCAAACCCACTGCCATTGAGTTGATTCCTGGTGATGTTGTCAGGGGCGGTGGAGTTTGTTCTGACTCATAGCAACCCTGTGTGTGTAACGGGATGACACGCTGCCTCGTCCTGTGCTGCCCTCACAGCTGTTCCTAGGTTGGAGTCCTTCGCTGCAGCCACTGTACAAATCTGTCTTGCGCAGGGCCTTCCTCTTTTTGGCTGCCCTTCTACGTCCCCAAGCCTGATGTTCGTTTCCAGGCCCTGGTCTCTCAGACACCATGTTACAAGTATGTGACCCGAAGCCTCACCACACTTGCTTCTAAGGGACATCCTGCCTGTACTTCATCCCGCACACAGTTGTTTGCCCTTTTGGCAGTCCATGGTACTCTCAGTATCCTTCACCAGTTACACAATTTAAATGCAGCAATTCTTCAGTTTCTCTGACTCAGTGTCCAACTTTCACATGCGTTTGAGGTGATTGAAAACACTGTACTTGGGTCTGGCCCACCTCAGCCCTTGAAGGAACACTCCTCGCTTTTCAACACTTGAAAGAGATCGTGTGCAGTAGATTCACCCAATGCAATGAGTCCTTTGATCTCTTGACTGGCATTTATTTTGGAGGCAAGCAATATGAAATCTGTGGCAATTTCGACCCCTTTCCCATTGTCATGATGTTCCACATCGGCCCAGTGTAAGGACTTGGGTTTTCGTGATTGTGTGTTGTGTTCATCAGCCAGTGTTTCAGGCTCTCCTCACTTTCAGCAAGCAAGGCTGTGCCATCTGCGTGTTGACGGTTGTCAATAACCCTTCCTCCAAACCCCATGTCATGTTCTGCATGTGGTCCAACTTCTCTGCTCTCCTCAGAAGACAGATTGAACAGGTCTGATGGGAGGACCCGCCCCTGACACACCCCTTTCCTGGTTTTAAAACATGCACTATCCCTTATTCTATTTGCATAACTGCCTCTTGCTCTACGTGTGGTTTCCTAATGAACACAAAGAGGTGTTCTGGAATTCCCCTTCTTCTCCAGGCTACCCTTGTTGTCAATCCCTTTGCATGGGCCACGAAACACAAGTAAACATTTCCTGCTTTTCTCTGCTTTAGCCAGGACCCATCTGACATCAGCAATGACACCCCTGGATCCACAGGCTTTTTCTGAGTTTCTGGCAGCTCCTTGTCAATGTACTACTGCAACCAATGTTGGATGACCTTCAGTCAAATTTACTTGCACGTGATATCAATGATATCATTCAATAATTTGCATATCTGATGAGTCGGGGTTTTTTTGGGAATGGGTACAGATATGGATCTCTCCCAGTCAGTAACTGTTTTTCATACTTCTTGGCTTAGACAAGGGAGTGCTCCCAGGGCTTCATCAACTAGTTGGAACATCTCATTTGGTATTTCAGCAATTCCCGGAGCCTTGTTTTTCATCAATGCTTTCAGTGTAGTTCGACTTTTCCTTCCAGCACCATTGGTTCTTGATCATAGGCTACCTTTGGAATGTCCACTAGTGCTTTTTGGTACAGTGACTCTGTGTATTCTTCCCATCTTCTTTTGATGCTTTCTGCGTCATTCAATATTTTCCCCATAGAATCTTTCAGCATTGCAACTCATAATTTGAAATTTTTCTTGAGTTTTTTTTAGTTTATGATACACTGAGCATGTTCTTCCTTTATGGTTTTCAAACTCTAGGTATTTTCACATTTCATTATAATACTTTGTTTTCTTGAGCTGCCATTTGAAATGTTCAACTCTTCTGTTCATTATTTCTTTCATGTGCTTTAAGTACTCTACAATCAAGAGGAGGTTTCAGAAGGACTTCTGACATCCACTCTGATCTTTCTTTCCTGTCTTTTAAATGACCTCTTGCTTGCTTTGTGTATGATGTTCTTTATGTTACTCCATTGTTCATCAATCTTCTGTCAGTAGTGTCCAATCCATCACATCTGTTCTTGATATCTTCCTGAAATTCAGGTGGGATATACTCAAGGCCAGATTTTGGCACCTGTGGGCTTGTTTTAATTCTTCAGCTTCAACCTGAACTTAGATATGAGTAATTAATGGTCCACAGTTGGTCCTTGGCCTAATTTTAGCTGCGGATCCCAAATTTCTCCATCACCTCAACCCACAAATGTTATTAATCTTATATTTGTACATTCCACACAGAGAAGTCCACATGTAAAGTTGCTGTTTGTGTCCACATGTAAAGTCGCTGTTTGTGTTGTTAACAAAAGGTATTTGTGATGAAAAATCATTGTTCTTGCAGAATTCTTTCATGTGATTTCCAGCTTGTTTCTATCACAAGGCCATATTTTCCAACTACATTTCTTCCTCTTTGTTTCCAACTGTTGCATTCCAATCTCCAATAATGATCAATCTATCTTGATTGCATGTTTGATCAATTTCAGACTGAATGTGTTGGTAAAACTCTTCATTTTCTTCATCACTAGCTTTGTGGTTGGTGTTTAAATGTGAGTAATAGTTATATTGATTGGATTTCCATATATATATATAAATATAAATTTATAGATAGATATTTTTTTCTCACAGACAACATTGTACTTCAAGATCCATTCTGAAAGGTCCTTTTTGGTGATGAATGCAATGCCAGGCTTTTGAACTTGTCATTCCAGGCATAATAAACCATATAGCCAGCTGATTTAAAGTGGCTGATACCAGTCCATTTTAGCTCACTAATACCTAGAAATTTAGTAGCATTACCTTTTTCTTTAAAGCAGCAGTTCTCAACCGGTGGGTTGCAACCCCTTTGGGGGTCGAATGACCCTTTCATAGGAGTCTCCTGATTTTATAACAGTAGCAAAATTAAAGTTATGAAGTAGCAATGACACTAAGTGTATGGTTGGGGGTGGGGCGGTCACCACAACATGAGCAACTGTATTAAAAGGTTGCGGCATGAGGAAGGTTGAGAACCACTGCTTTAAAGATTTTCATAGGATTGATTGGGGCAGGATGGTGATTGAATTCTAGCCATAGTACGTGCTGTGCTCGATTGAGCATGTCTGTCGCAACTTCAGAATGAGAAATTAGTGCTGGTGTTGCATGTACTTGTTACCGCTGGGTTAAAGAGGGAGGGTGGTGTCTACTTCCTCCCACTGCTTTCTCTGCAGGAAGGAGAGAGGGGGAAAAGGGCCTTAGTCAGGATCCTGGCTCCATCCACACTATTAACTCTTAAGAGATTTGGAAATTTAGGAGGAAAAGATTAGCAAAAAAAAGGAAATTTGAAGAGTTATGTAGTCGAGTCCTGCTCCTGACACTGCACAGTTTCTGTGAGTCACAAGGTCACTGAGACAGCTGCACTTCTTGTGTGTAGATGAGTCTTAGAGTCAGAGTTGGTTGCTAGATCCCACGGAATGCTTTTGTGACAATCCCTTAATCACATGAGTCCATTGCTATACGTGGTAAACTAAATGGAGCTTTAAAGTAATAAAAATCAGAACTGTAACGTAATAATAACTAGCAGTTGACTACTCAGCAAAAGGTTGGCAGTTCGAACACACCCAGAGTTGCCTCTGAAGATGAGTTTGGCGATCTGCTTCCGAAAGGTCATGACCTTGAAAACCTGGGTAAGCAACTCTATTCTGCACGTAATGAGTCAGGCTGACTCCACGAACAATCACAAGCCTCTCACCACGCTATGAGAAAGGTACTGTGTTCGTCTGGGTAGACTAGAGAAACAAATTCGTGGATACTCTTATGTGTATAAGAAAGCGCTTTATATACAAGAACAATTGAATATTGAGAAAATATCTTAGCCCAGTCCAGATCAAGTCGATAAGTATGATATTAGCCCATATGACTGATATCAGTCTATAAGTTCCTCTTCAGACTCATGCAACACATGCAATGGCGCTGAATGCAGGAAGATCACAGTCCAGTGGGTGGGAAGTCTTGTGAATCCAGTGGCAGTGTAAGCATCTCAGGCTGACAGTGGTCTCTACGTGGCTCCTCCAGGTCCAGGGCTCTGGCTGCATCAGTGTAGGTCCATCAGGCTCTTCATAAGTAATGCCTTGCAGGGAGTGAGTCTGTGTCCTGCCTCTAGTGAGCTATTTTTCTCCATGGGGCCTCCAAATGATGTCATCAAGCAGCGACCTGACTGACAGGCTACACTCCACCCCTTCACTCTTAAGTCTCAAATTGACAACAGATTATGTAACTATCACAGGTACTATTATTACCTATGTTCTATGTTTACTGTAGAAGGTCAGAGCAAGCTGGTCTTCAAACCAGATCTTACTTTGGAAGAAGTACAGGCAGAAAATCCCAAAGTGCACCAGGGCCGGTATCATCCTGAGGAGTGTAAGGCTTTGCAGCGGGTTGCCATCCTCATTCCACACCGGAACAGAGAGAAACACCTGATGTACCTGCTGGAGCATCTCCATCCCTTCTTGCAGAGGCAGCAGATCGATTATGGCATCTATGTCATCCACCAGGTGAGTGTGGGCCCAGGCCAGAGCCCTGTCTTCCACGGCTGCCTCTTCCTGAGAACCTGCAGCACTCAGTGTTCATCAGATGAGCGCTCTCTTACTTTGATTATCTTCTACTGGAGTAAAGGATGTTAATGCCCCGGGATGAGGAGTCAAGGGCCCAAGTTCTGTGAATAGTACTGGCTCTTAAATGAACCTCTGCAGGAATTTTGCTTTCTGTTGACCCTTTCTTGTTAGACAGTGACTTCCTGTAAGATTTATTCCTGAGAGTCATTGGCCTCCTAGGGTTTGCTGTGGCATTTGTTATGCACTGTAAAGAAGTGCTTATTGTTAACTATAGGGCATGACCGTTCACTGGAACGCATTGGTCAGCTTGTCATGATCTTGCATGCTGCTGTGATGCTGGAAGCCATGCCACCAATATTTCAAACACTGATGGGGTCACCTATGGCGGACAGGTTTTAGCAGAGCTTCCAGACTAAGACAGATTTCTAAGAAGAAATAATGAAGCAAATAATTGAAGACACAATTTCAAAGGGTGGCTTAAGAAGACATAGTAATGTAATGTGTGCAAAGACCTAGTGTCAGAAAACAGAACAAGCGTGATACGTCTGAAACTGAAAGACCCAAAGGCGGAGGGGGGGGGGATTAAGCCTCGAGGTGCAATATTGATGGATTCTATGGGCAAAATACTGAACAATGCAGGAAGAATCAAAGGAAGATGGAAGGAACACACAGAGTTACTGTATCAGAAAGATACCAACAATAAGTTGACCAACAACTGTTTCAAGAGCTAGCATATAATCCTGAACAGCTGGTATTGAAAGAACTTCAAGCTTCCTGAGGCATTGGCAAAAAAAAAACAAGGTTTAAGGAATTAATAGAATACCAATTGAAATGTTTCAACAACCGGAGGCAGCTCTGGAAATGCTCGCTCATCGATGCTAAGGTATTTGGATGACAGCTACCCGACAACCCACTGGAGGACATTCATCTTTATGCCCATTGCAAAGAACACTGACCCAACCAAATGTGGAAAATTTAGAACAATGTCACTGATAACCACAGCAAGCAAAATTTGCTGAAGACTGTTCAACAATGGCTGCCGTAGTACATTGACGAGGATCTGCCAGGAATTCAAGCTGGATTCAGAAGAGGACATGGAGTAAAGGATATTACTGCTGATGTCAGATGGCTCTTGACTGAAAGCAGAGAATACCAGAAAGATGTTTACTTGTTTTACTGACTACGCAAAGACATTGGCCGTTGATCATAACAAACATTGGGAAGACTTGGAATTCCAGAACAATTTGTTGTGCTCATGCAGAACGTGTACATGGAGCAAGGGGCAGTGGTTCGAACAGAATAGATAGCACATGGTTTAAAATGAGGAAAGGGTTGTATCCTTTCACCATACTTATTCAGTCTGGGGCGGAACGCTGGTGGTGTAGTGGTTATGAGTCGGGCTGCTGTCCTCAAGGTCCGCCGTTTGAAACCATCAGCCACGTCGAGGGAGAAAGAATCTATATGCTGAGTAAATAATCAGAGATTCTGGACTACATGAATAAGAATGGGGCATCGGGATGGGATCAGGGCTTATCAATCACCTCTGATGTGCAGGTCACACACCTTGCTTTTTGAAAGAGGACTTGAAGCACTTGCTGGTGAAGATCAAGGACTGCAGCCTGCAGTCTATCTTACACCGCCATCATCACAAACAGGGACTAGATGGAAGCAGTCAAGGATTTCACATGACCTGGATCCAAAATGAATGCTCATGGAAGTATCAGTCAAAAATCAAACAATGCACTGCATGGGGGCAGGTTAAAAAGTAAAGAAAGATATCGCCTTGAGGACTAAAGTGCATGTGACCCAAGCTGTAATATTTTCTTTTTAGTGTTTTAAAATCATTTTATTGGGGGCTCCTACAACTCTTACCACAATCCATCCATCCATCCATTGTGTCAAGCACATTTGTACATTTGTTGCCATCATCATTCTCAAAACATTTTTTTCTACTTGAGCCCTTGGTATCAGCTTCTAATTTTTTTCCCTCTCCCTCATCTCCCTGCTCCCTCATGAACTCTTGATAATTTTTAAATTATCATTATTTTTTCATGCCTTACACTATCCGATGTCTCCTTTCACCCACTTTTCTGTTGTCCGTCCCCCTGGGAGGGGGTTATATGTAGGTCATTCCTCTCCCACCTTCCCCTTTTCCTCCTGCTACGGCTACTCTCATTATTGGTCCTGAGGGGTTTATCTGTCCTGGATTCCCTGTGTTTCCAGCTGTTATCTGGACCCATGTACATGCTCTGGTCTAGCCATATTTGTAAGGTAGAATTGGGATCATGATTGTGTGTGTGTGTGTGTGTGTGTGTGTGTGTGTGTGTGTTGGGGGTAGAGGCCGGGGAAAGCATTAAAGAACTAGAGGAAAGTTGTATGCTTCATCGGTGCTATACTCCACCCTGACTGGCTCATCTCCACCCCGCATCCCTTCTGTAAGGGGATGTCCAATTGCCTACAGATGGCCTTTGGATCTCCATTCCGCACTCCCCTTCATTCATAATGATGTGATTTTTTGTTCTGGGTCTTTGATGTCTGATCCCTGATCCTATCGACACCCTGTGATCACACAGGCTGGTGTGCTTCTTCAGCTGGAGTATTCTCAGTCACCTCATGTGCATGTAAAAGTTGGGCAGTGAATAAGGAAGGCCAGAGAAGAATTGTTACATTTGAATTATGGCGTTATTAAAAACCATTGGAATTGCCATGGACTTCCAGAAGCTTAAAGAAATCTGTCTCGGAAGAAATACAGCCAGAATGTTCCGAAGAAGCAAAGATGGTGAGACTTTGTTTCACATACTTTGGATGTGTTATCAGGAGAGACCAGTCCCTGGACAAGGACATCGCGCTCGGTGGAGGGGCAGGGAAGGAGAGGAAGACCCTTGACAAGACGGAATCAAACCTGCTGTAACAATGGGTTCAAACATGACACTTAGTAGAATACTGCAGGCCCAGGCAGAGTGTCCTTCCATGGTGCATGAGTTGCTGTAACCGCCTCTATAGCACCTAGCAACCATTTCCATACATCTAGACAAAGGGATTGACAGAACATTGGATGGTGTTTGATATGGAGCTCTAGGGCTGTGTCTGCCTTTGTGTCTTTCCTTTTGCCACTATGTATTATGTAAACGACATTTAATTTTTCACATTCTCGATCCACGTATCTGTTTGTCAGGAGCAGGATTTCGTAGGAATATATGAAACTGTATTCAGCTCTAAGGTCAGTGGAGTAGGTGATTAAAAATGTTTCTATTTGGTGTCCTCGTTTACTGCGAGAAAAACAAAGTATCAGTCTAAATATCCCCAAACATATAGCTTTTTGAGATTGACCTGGGCCATTCAAACTGTTTGCAATCCCTAACACCTCCAGGCGGGCAAGCAAAATCAGCAGTGACATGCACATTAGAGGTGTTGGCAGTTGTTAGCGGGCCTGGAGCCAGCTCCCGAGTCCTTGTGACCCCATGCTCAGCAGAGTGCCGTGCTGCCCGGTCCTGTGCTGTACACACGGCGGGCTGCAGTGTTGGCTGATTTCAGTAAGTAGATTCCCAGACATTTCTTCCTAGTCATTCTTAGTCTGGAAGCTCTTCTGAAAGCTGGTCAGCATCATAGCAACAACCAAACTTCCATTGACAGACGGTAGTTGCACATGAGGTGCCGCCAGTCTGGGCGTCCTGCACGGAAGGTAGGAACTAGCATGCTCCTCTGTTAGTGCTTCACTGAGGCAATATTGTGAGATTGCCACAGGACCGGGCAGTGCTATGGGCTGGAACCAACTTGGTGGCACCTAACCACCACACAGGCTATAGTATACACTTTAAAATGAACTAGGCTCTTGCAAAGCCAATGCGTGCCTATTTTCAAGGACTTATTCTAGCAGTTTACTGTTAGACTGGTTGATAATTATTTTGGTCTTCAGGATAACAACCCCCAGAGTCCAAGTTTTAGAAACAAAGAAGTATGTTTGCTTTGAGGAAAGTAACTGTGGCAACTCTATACTTGCATTACGATAATTTGTTTATTGAACTGAAATTTATTCCTATAGAATTTGATCTAAGCAGTCACACGTCTCATGTGTTGTTCTCAACCCCCCCCCCTCCCAACCTAGTGATGCATCTTGCTCTGTAAGGGTAGTGTAAGGATTAGTCACCATTATTGATATACAGGATTCTGTTACAATGATTCCAAGAAACTTCTAAGGAGCTTAGAAATATTAGCAAGAACCTTCCCTGTTGATAGGTCAAACTTTCTGGATTCTTTCTGGCAAACCATTAATTACTCTTCTTGGAAGCTTGGTATGCATTTATAACCTAGGATTGGCATCCTCAGGTGAGGGTGGGACAGTGAAGAAATGGTGCCTGTGTGACTGATATGTAAGAAACATTTTGCACTTTTACTCGAGTCAATAAAGGTATGTTTCGAAGTGATGACAGGTGAAGATATATGAAGCCCAAAGGAAAGATGAGAATCAAAATGGGAGATGCTTTCTCATTAGTACATCCATGCTGCAACCAGAGTCTTTGTGAGTTAGCAAAAA